AGCCTTTTCAGGAGCGATTCCAAGACGATTCTAGGACAGCAGTTGTTTAAACGATGTTGTTGCATTTGTTCCCTACCTAGGCTCTGCCTAGAGGGTTCTTACCGTGTGAGCTTAAGGGGCCGGGCAGTGGAACTCGCCCGGGCGGTTCCCCCAGGATCCGCCCCGCGGTTCCCCCAGTTACGTCCCCTTAGATTAGCGTTGCTTATCTCATCTTAGCTTAGCCTAGCTTAACTTAGCTTAGCTTAGCTTAGCCCAGCCTAGCTTAGCTTAGCAGCGCAGCTTAGCTTAGCTTAGCCTAGCTTAGCTCAGCTCAGCTTAGCGCAGCATTATCATAGCATAGCATAGCATAGCATTTCATGCCATAGCATAGCATCGCATAGCGCAGCATAGCATAGCGCAGCATAGTATAGCACAGCATAGTATAGCGCAGCATAGCATAGCGCAGTATAGCATAGCATTTCCTGGCCTAGCCTAGCCCAGCATCGCATTGCGCAGCATAGCATAGCATAGCATAGCATAGCATAGCATAGCAGAGCAGAGCAGAGCAGAGCAGAGCATAGCGCAACACAACTTCCACTATTGCTGCTGCTATGCTACTCCCGCTACTGCTACAACTACGACGATGGGGAGAAGGAGGACGGCGTTTACCGCTCCTACTAATGTTGCTTTCCTAGAGGCTCTAACTCCTAGGTAGGGTCGCACTGGGATAATTTATTGTTTGAGGATGTCCCCAGCGAAATCGTGATTTTCGGCAGTCTCCAGGGCGCTGTTGGAGCCATCTTGGGCTCCTTTTGGGGTTCTCATTTCTTCATCTTGAAGCACTTCGAGGCCATGTCGAGGCGATGTTGCGAGCATCTCATTTTCCGAGGATGCCCCCAGCAAGATGATCATTGGCTGCCGTGTTTTTTTTTCGGTCTGCCGCGCCCTTCCCAACTGTCTGAGGATGTCCCGAGCGAAAACACCATATGTAAAACAGCTTTTCCGACATATCATGTATCCGAGAATGCCTCAGGCGAAACGCTCATTGTTCATGCACAACAAAGTCCTTGACATGTTTCAGCATCACGATTGTCTGAGTATGTCTCGATAGCCTCCAACATCTCCATGTTCGGAAGATGTCTCGAACGAACTCGCTGTTTTGGGGAACCTACCCGGACAAGAACGGGAAGCGCCGCTTCTATGAGCTTGCGTTCGCACGCGCGCATGGACTCGCACCCAGAAAAACTATGCGCAAGTGGGATGCTGTCGCATAGACTCCCAAGATGCCCTGGTGGTTGCCGCTTCTAGCTTGGGCGTTGTGATTGCTGTGGCTGCGTTGGTCAGTTGTAGTGCGTGGCCTGTGTATGTGTGTACGCATGCGTGCGTGTATGCGTATGTGTGTGCGCGCGTGTGCGTGTGCGCGTCGGAATGGTGGCGACGGGACGGGGGGATGTACGGCGTGCGTGCAGGATGTGTTATGGGGGCGACGGGCGGGGGGGAATGCACGGCGTGCGCCCCCCCGCCCGCCCACCCGCCCGCCTGCCCGCCCGCCACCCCCCCACCCCCCACCCCCCCACCCCCTCATCCGCCCCCCTCCCCCCCTCCCGCCCACCGTCCCACCGTCCCACCGTCCCACCCCTCCACTTCCCCCCCCCAACCCCCCCATCCCCCTCACACCCCCACACCGCCCCCCCCCCCCCCCCCCACCAACCCATCCACCCACCCACCCCCCTACCCCTCCACCCCCCCCGCCCCCCCACCCCACCCCCCAACGGCCATGTTCAACGATTCGCTGGATTTCGCGAGCAAGCTCGGTAGCTCGTTTGTTCGAGGATGTCTCTAGCGAGAGCCTCATGTTTAACAAAAGGCGCCTGAAACACACGACGTCAGCATCTCATGTTTTCGATGATGTCTCGAGCGAAACGGCCGTCTGTCAGAGACTTCAGAGACCTCAGAAACCTCAGAGACGGAGGAGACCTCAGAGACGGAGGAGACCTCAGACACGGAAGAGGACTCAGAGACGGAGGAGACGAGACCTCAGAGGCGGAGGAGACCTCAGAGACCTCAGGAACATCAAAGACTGAGAAGACCTCGGAGACGGAGGAGACCTCAGACACGGAAGAGACCTCAGAGACGGAGGAGACCTCAGAGACTGAGGAACTTCAGAGACGGAGGAGACCTCAGAGAAGAGGAGGGGGAGAAGGAAGAGCAGAAGCAGGAGAAGGAGGAGGATGAGGAGGAGGGGGCCGTCGCCATTTTGGCTTAAGTTCGAACACTTGCGCCTTGGTGCTCGAACTTGTCGCAGCCGAAGGGCGAGGCTCGAAGGCTTCGCGGTCGGAGCGACAATCCTGTGTGCACGTACCGCCCCAGAGTTCTGCCATGCCAGGCGGGTGGCGCAACTGGCAGTGGGACTCCTGGCAGCAGCCCAAGCGTGCCAAGAGCAACAAGGAGCGCAACTATGTAGTCTGCGACGCCTGCGGCAAGTGGAAGTGGCAGGACCGTCTCAAGAAGGACCCGCTTTGCCTGTGTGGTCAGCTTCTTTGTACTCCTAGTGGGGGGGACAGCC